GAACCTTTATCTCTTAAAACACCCTGGCAATAATTGGTGTTGTCAGCATGTTGCCCGATCTGTTGCTGTGCTGTTGAGCCTGGCAGTGGTGCCATTCAGCCCACAAAGGGCTCTCTGTGCCTCTGCAAACGCCGTATGGAGCCACGTTGGGTGTGTAAATCCTGTCAGATGGCTTTGCCTGGGCTGGCAGCAGTGCCCAGGCTGTGGGGCAAGGCTGAGCCTGAGCTCTGGCACCTCCTGGACTGCGGTCCTGGGGTATCTTGGACAGATCCTTAGTTTTTTTACCCTTTAGCACATCAGAGCAGTTTTGGTTTTTCGCTTGAAGCGTGGTCTGTAGGGTGTGTTTGTTTGTAAACTTAGGGTGTGTGTGTTTGTAAACTTTCCGTGGTAAAAATGAAGTTTTGGGATTTGGCRAGGTGGGATTTGGCCTCCCTGTGTGTGCTGCTGAAACAAGGCTCGGCTGGAGCTGTGTGTGTTAAAAAGGCACCAAAATGGGGTCTGGGGTGCTGTGGGGCCACGGCAGCGATGCTGTCCCTGCCTTGGGGGTCCTACTGATGTGACTGCAGGGACTGTGCCCATTGCACCCCTCCTTGGGGTCACCTTGCTGTCTTTGGCACCCTCYAACCTGCATTTGTGCCAAGCCATGGCAGCCTCTCCACGGGCTTTTGAGTGGAACATGACAGCAGAAGCTGTGCCGGAGGTGGGCTGGGCTCTGCCCATCTGGTTTGAAATATTTGCTGMTGATGATTCAGAGGGGAACCTGCCAGCAGCTGCCATCCCATCCTAAATCACTGATTAACTCCAACCACCTGATGCAGAAGTTGTTTAATAAACAAATCAGGGCTAATTSTGTATGGAAGTGGCTGTGGGATGGGGCCAGGTCCAGAGGAGTGCAGTGTCTCAGGGGAGCGGGGCTTTGCTGACCTTGCTGGGAAGCWCAGAGAGGATATTGGAACCTTCTGGAGCAAATGAAGCATTTAATGATGCTGTCCTGCCGCTTGGAGCTGACCCCAGCGGTGCAGGGGCTGGGCTAGGCGGGTGAAGCTCCATCCTGTCAGCTTTAAGTGCTGCTTTCAGGCAGGAGGTTCTCATTGCTGGGTTCCTGCACCGACTGCGGGGYCAGCTTGGGTGAGTGTCCCGTGCAGAGTGCTGATATCCATCCATGGGCTGGGTCCAGCTGGCCATTGCCAGCTCTGACCCTGACAAAACCCCTTTCCTGGGTGTCCCTGAGCTGCAGGAATGTTGTGTGACCCCGCAAAGCAGTGTTGTGCTGCAGCCCTGGGGACAGACACCATATTGCTGCTTTCTAAGCACCCTTGGCAGGCTGTAATCCGCTGTTTTGGCCGCTGATTAGAGCGGCTGTTCCCTGGATTACCCATCCCTGGGCTCTGAGGTTGTTCTGTGCTGGCTGTGGGGATGGGGTGGTGTGGGATGGGGAGGTGTGGGGATGGGAAACTGTGGGGTTGGGGAGGTGTGGGATGGGGAGATGTGGGATGGGGAGGTTTGGGGTTAGGAAGGTGTGGGGTTAGGAAGGTGTAGGGCTGCAGAGGTGCTGTCCCCATAGCCAAGTGCTGTGTCCTGTTCTCTCCAGTGGTGCCCCCAGATCTGCCCCCTCTGTGCTCCTGCCTCGGGGCTGTTTGATGGGGCAGCCCTGCCCTGCTGGGGACTGGCATTGCCCTCCTGTCCCTGTCCAGGACAGCCTGAGCCAGCCTGAGCCTGCTGCTCCTGCTGTTCTTTGCTGCAGGGGAAGGAAGGCGCAGGAGTCTCAGTTCCTGTTGTCCACTTGAACATTAAATATAGGCTATTAAGCAATTTTCTTYGCAGGAAGTGTAGAAATTGTGCTCCGTGTGAGCGCAGCCTCTGGCAGAGGCTGGAGCCCGGAGCTTGCCTTGCAGCAGCATCCTCTGCTCCCCTTTGGAGCAGCGTTAACCCTTCATGGCCACAGCAGCTCCAGGTTTATCTTTAACCCATCTGAGCACCCATCCTGCTGCTCCTGTCCCTGTCCMAGCTCCAGCTGAGCCCGAGYTTTTTGCTTTTTCCAGCTTRTGCAGCAAAGTGGCTGCAGAGTCAGCYTGGGGAGAGCCCCCAGCCCTGAGCCAGCAGTTTCACTTTTCCCTGCCTGTCCTGATCTTTCCAACACGGGRGCAGGCAGTGGGACATTTGTGTCCCTGACATCTCATTTGATGTGCTGTGGTCCCCTCARTGTCCTGCCCCTTATTCCTGGGTCTGGCTGCAGTGGGGTCACCCCATAGCCCGGGGTGCTGCACTCGTGGAGGAGGGTTGGGAAATCGTGACTTCCTCCTATAAACGGCCTTTTTCAGTAGYTCCAAATTCCTTTGGAAGAGGCTTTTTAATTAAAAAACAACCACTTCAGTCTCCTTGCAGTAACAGCAACCACTTCCCAGAAAGAATGAACTTTGAATAACTGAGGAGGAGGAGGAGGAGGGACAGAGGGACAGAGGTGCCCCCTTGCTGCTGATCCCTTGCAGGATTCCTGGGCTGGAGAAGGCAGGTTTGGAGGAGCCTGGAGCTGGAGCTGTGTGGCTGGGATGGGAATTTGGCCAGCAGTTACCCAGCTCCTGGCTGCAGAGAGGAGGAAGGTGGGCTGACCCCTTGGCTGGCTGTGAAGGAGGAGGGACAGGCAGTGGGGTTATCCCAGGCAAAGGCTGCTGCCCTCTGTCCCCTCTGTCYCCTTCCTGCTGTTCCCTGGGGGATGTGAGGGTGCAGGGATGGGGAGGAAGGATGCATCACTTTTCAAAGGCATTTCRCTGAGCTCCTTGGTTGCTGTAGCTGTGCAGCTGCACCCTGAGTGTGCCGGTTTTGTGTCAAGTGGGCTCTCCCAATGGGATCATCCCATCATAATGGAATCATCCCATCCCCACAGATCATCCCATCCCATACCAATGGGATCATCCCATCCCCACCAGCCCTGGCAGGTGGAGCAGGGAGCCACGGGAGATGGTGATGAGGAGGAGGTGGAGGAGAGCTCCAGCYTGAGCTGGTTGTGTTGCTCAGGCAGAAGGATTTCCAGGCTTTTTGTGGTGGTTTCCTCAATGCTGTGGTTGGCTGATGGAGCCACTGGAGAGTTTGGAAGGAAACCTTGCAGGCCCTTGGCACAGCCTGGCTGTGACTCGTGTGGTGTCCGGGTGGATCTGCTGTGTGTGAGACGAGACAGCACCTTCTGTTGAGCCTTTGTGGGGTTTGGGGTTTGTTCACAGCCCTGGGGAAGARCCCTCAGGAGCTGAGCTGCCCTGCTCTCCTGTGCCTTCCTGCTTCCACTGGAGGGGATGGTTCCAAAATGTAGTTGAGAGGTAACAGCCTTTAGGAAAAGGGGATGCTGGGGCGTGGGTGGGTCTGACAGTGGCCCAGGGAGGGAATGGGGCCCCACAGAGTGGGCACGGGTGCCCCTGTCTCCTTTTCTGGCCGATCCTGCTGCTAATTTTATCCTTTATCGCTGTCCCTCCAGGCGTTATCTCTGTCTCCCCCTCCTCTCCCTGTTTACAAGCACCATGGGCCATTGCTGGCAGTGCTGCTGGCCCCAGAGGCTYCCTGGCTTTGCTGTGCCCGGTCCCACAGCCCAGCCTGCTCATTCTCGTGGGGTGGGTGCCCCTGCCCTGGGCTGGGGAGCTCAGCTCCCCCYGTGCTCATCCTGTGCTGCAGGTGGCTCTGGGGTCCTGCCAGGCACTGGTGGCACCCAGGGGTGTCACATCAGACCTGGCTCAGGTGGGGACGTGTAACGTGGCCAGGGGCTCGGGGGGCAGCAGGGGCTGGGGGAGAGGACACAGCTCCTGGAGTCATTAGTGTCTCCATTAATTAGGAGGGGCTGGGTGAAAGTCCCCGAGCCCTAGGGCTGCTCTGCTGCTCACACCAGCACAGACACGTGGAGGGAGCCCCRAGAGCTGCAGGGGCTGTCCCAGGCCCTCTGCTCAGCCCTGTGCTGAGCTGGAGCAAAGCCTCCCACTTTCCCAAGTCCCTCTTCTCAACCCTGGCAGCAGCACATGGGAAGTTTCCCCAAAATCATGTGTCTTCCCTCTGTAAGTGCCAGTGGAGACTGCCGAGAGCTCCAGGCGTGGGAAGGGTGTGAGATCTGTGCTCGTTCCATCCTGCAGGGAGCAAAGTGCAGATCCTGTTCATTGGGAACCTTCTCCTTGGAGAAGCCCCTCTGTGCTTTTCCACTGGGAGAGCTCCCAGGGATTTCCCTCTCTCTGCCTGTCTCTGGGTGATTTCTGCCTCTGTAGGAAGCAGTTGTGTGAAGGCAGCTGGGTCTGAAGTGGGCAGGATTAACCACAGGGCTGTCAGCAGTGATACTGGGAAAACAGCTTTGATGCTTGCAGAAAGTTGCCAGCTCCCTTATCCGTGGGGAAAACAAAACTCTTGGACTCTGGTGTGTTATCTCTTGGCTGTTGGTGTGAGGGAGGAGGAAATGGCCTTTGCGTGCACACACATTTTCCACCGGTGCTCGGACAGGGAAAAACTCACAGAATTTTGTGCTTTGAGTGAAGAAATGCCAGGGGAACRAGCACMGTGTCTCCCTGACCCCAGYAGGGYTGGCAGCCACACTCTGCCCTCAGARCTGTGTGTGCCAGGTTACAGGGCTGCTCTAAAAACCAATCCTGCACCCACTCAGGTCACTGCGAGTAAGAACTTAATAGGATCCACATCTCGGAGTGAATCTGCAGCTCGGGGAGCAATAAACCTCGGTGGGGCAGGAGCATGGCAGAGGTGCCAGCTCTGGAGGGCAGTGTCACTGTGTGCCACCATTTGCCACTGCCCCGTGGCTCTGGGCTGAGCTCTGTGTGGCTCTCATGGTGTTTGGGGTTTCATCTCCTGTAGGGTGTTGTGGGGGTGCTGACAGGGACCCCACAGAGCGCTGTCCCTGCGGTGGGTGTGGAAGGGCAATGCCAGGGGTCCCTCTGTGGGTATTTCCCGGCTGGGATCATGTCCTGCCTGCATCCTGCAGTTCCCATTTGTGACATTTCTGTTTCCCTCCCCGCTCTCAGACCTGTCAGCCGCCCAGCGCAAATTCGCCGATTCCCTCAACGAGTTCAAATTCCGCTGCATCGGCGACGCTGAGACGGACGATGAGATCTGCATCGGTGAGTCCTGACACTGAGCAGGGCACGGCAGGGAAACACTCACAGCACACCGAGGGTTTGTCTGGAAATGGCACATTCCTTCCTCCTGGCTCAACATCAGCAAAGCCTGCCCCAGGGAATCACTTGCTGCTGCTTGGCCTGAGTCTGTCCCTGTGGATAGGARAGGGAGCAGATTGCCCGTGTCTGGAACCATCCTGGTTATTGGGATCTTTGCACTGGAGAGCTCTGGAGGTGGCTGTGGCTGGATTTGAGGTGCTGTGCTCTGAGGCACAGGAGCAGCATCTCACTGCCCCCTGTGCTGGGGACAACCAGCAGTGCCCAGCCTGGCACGGTCCCTGAGCTCAGCCTGCTCCACCACCGAGCCTCTCCTGGCACAGGGCAGCAGCTTCAGCCTCTTTCCTCTCTGTCCTGCTGCTCCTGCCCCAGCTGAACTTTCAGAGCTTATTGTGCACATCGTCTGGAGCCGGGAGAGCAAAGGAGCTTTAGSCCTGATTTAACTTTGCTTGTTTATTTGTGCCCAGTCTCAGCAGAAATAGCTCCTTGTCCAGGTCTCCCTGGYGCYRTGCCCATGCTGGGGAGCTGCCCCTSGTGTGCTGRGCAKGGCTGCAGGCCATGCTGTGCTGTGGGGCTGGTTGGTGTCTGACTTTTGGGGAGTGCAGCTTAGAGATTTGAGGCAGGTTTGAGGGTGTTGCTCTCTGGAGGAGGAAATGTGRTCCTGGGGATGCTCTGCTGCTTCTRTAGGCAGCAGGAACCTTTCTAGGGAGAGAGCAAAGATAATGAAAAACCCAAACCACCCACCCCCCCAAAACACTGATAGACAAAACCCCTCTGTTCAGTTTTTTTTCTTTAAAAATGGAATGTTCAATGCTGACTGTGTCCCTTCCAGCCAAGTCTCTGCAGGAGTTTGCCACRGTGCTGCGGAACCTGGAGGACGAGCGGATGCGCATGGTATGGCCCTGTCTGCCCTGGGAGCGGGGCTGGGACACCCTGGGCACCGTGGTGACAGTGACAGCCAGCCCCAGGGCTCCTTCCCTCACCCAGGGTGGAGCTGCAGGGGAGGGCAGAGGGAGGGGAGGGAGGGCAGAGGGAGGGGAGGGTGGGCTGGGGGGGAAATGCTCTGCCAGTGCCGGTGCTGGTGCTGGGGGCTCACGGGTTTGCAGGGATGGAGGGTGAGGCCTGTGGGTTCTGTGGGCTCTGGGGGGTTCCCAGTGCTGCCAGCCCCGGTGAGATGTGCCCGTCTTCGCCCCAGATCGAGAATGCCAGCGAGGTGCTGATCACGCCGCTGGAGAAGTTCCGCAAGGAGCAGATCGGGGCTGCCAAGGTAACCCAGGCACTGTCCCCTGGAGCTGGCCAGAGCTGGCAGGAGCTGGCCAAAGCTGCCCAGAGCTGGCCAGAGCTGGCAGGAGCTGGCACGCTGCAGGGATGGGCTCGGGCCTGGGAGGAGGTGGTGTGCTGCTGTGGGGTGGCCATGGGGACCATCCAGCTCCTGGAAGTGCCTCTGTGTTCCGAGTTTACAACCGAGGAACCTGCCAAGGGCCAAAAATCACGTGCCAATTGAAGTGAACTTTTTTCCTTCCTCCAAGAAGAATTCGAATTTTCTTGGAAGGGTCCCCAGTTGCCAGATCCCCCCAGCCCGAAGTGTCACTGGGAGCTCGGACACTCCTGGCAGGACAGGGAAGCGCCGGTGTGGCTGTGAGACAGCCTGGCCCCCCTCCTTCTTTCCTGCCTTTGTTCTGAAATGAAAACCACTGTCTGCGGCTCCCCTGTTGTTATAACAACCTGCTGCTGCCTGGAGCAGCTCATGCCAGCGCCTGGGGCTCGCATGGCAGCGCTGCCCTGCCCGGCCTCGCTGCCCTGCCCGGCCTCGTGCTCCTCAAAACAAAACAAACGGAGGAGCCTCCAGACTGGGAATGGTTCTGAGCAGGGCTGGCGTGGATTCTGTCCTGGCCTGTCGGGCTGGGCCAGTTTGGGATGAGAGGGGCAAAAGAAAGTGAAGTTTCCATTTGTCCTTTKTGCTCTTGTCACAAACAGCAGAGTTACTGTGCCCTGGTCCTGTGTGACACAGAGGAGAAGCTCTGCAAGGGGTGGCCGGGGTGGGATGTGAAATCACGACCACGTTCTGGTTAGAAAGCACTTTCCTCACTCTGTTGTTTTTGGACCTGGGTCGGGATGTTTTCCCAAGCGCTGGGCCCCCGGAATAGAGGAGGGGTTCCCTCAAGCCTTGGCTTTTGGCAGCCTGAGCTGCTCTCCTGTAGCTGTGTGATGCTGGCAGATAAAAGYAGCCTCACCTGCTCCCAGCTCCTGTCTCTGTTTGGTGCCACCCAGGGCTGCTGTGCTGCCCRGTGCCATGGGGATGCTGTCACAGCTGCTCTGSCACYRCTGTGTTCAGTGTCACACTTTTTGTTCCGTTTTGTAGGATGCCAAAAAGAAATACGACAAGGAGACTGAGAAATACTGCGGTGTCCTAGAAAAGCACTTGAACTTGTCGTCCAAGAAGAAAGAATCCCAGCTTCAGGAGGTGAGAGCAAGCTCTGMGTTTCCGTGTCTGGCTGTGACTGGGGAGAGCTTTTTGAATGCCTCACACAGYTTACAACAATGGTTCTCCTGGCTGTAAACTCATTTTTTCCCTCATTCTGGCTGCGGGTGCCGGGTTTTCCCCTTTTCCTGTAATGAAAGGGGACGGAGCTGTTTTGGTGAGTAAATCAGAGAGATCTCAAAATGGATAGCAATCAAAAAGGAGAGAKGGTTTATAATTAAAGAGTGCAACGGAAAGGAACTGGTTCTGCTGCAGGCTTCCCGTGTGCCAGCACAAGTCATGGAAGTCTGGTCTCCTTTGCAAGTGGTTGCTCTGCTTTGTGCTCAGGGGAGGAGGGATCAGGCTCAGTGCCTCAAACTCTTTGAGAGCCATCAGTGGCTCAGGACTGGAGAGCTGTGGTGACAAATGCTGCTGCTCAATGGGTACACTGAGTTTTTAATCACTTTTAAGTCTGGAATTCCTGTGCTGGCCCAGAGTTGGGCTGGTCCTGCAGGATTTGTGTCCTTTGGGCATGGGGCTGTTGTGCTGCTGATCCCTTCTGGGCACTGGTGGGCACGGGGCTTGGGTGGTGGGGTGGTGCCAGGAATTCTGATCGTGGAGAGAAGGATCCCCTCGTGGCTGTCAGGGTGCAGGGTGGCTCTTGGAGCTGTGATCCTGGACCCTTGGACAGCGTGGCCCTGTGGGGCTGCCTGGAGATGCCATAGGGGATACAGGGGGGATGAGTTTGGGGTGAGTTCAGGGTGAGTTTGGGATACAAGTGGGATGAGTTCGAGGTGAGTTCAGGATGAGTTTGGGATGTGTTCAGGATGTGTTCACAATAAGTTCGGGATGAGTTCAGGATGAGTTCGGGATGCAGTGCAGGATGAGCTCACGATGAATTCAGGATGTCTTTGTCTTTGGGATGAGTTTGGGATGTCTTTGGGATGTGTTCAGGATGTCTTTGGGATGTGTTCGGGATGTCTTTGGGATGTGTTCGGGATGTGTTCGGGATGTGCTCGGGATGTGCTCGGGATGTCTTTGGGATGTCTTTGGGATGTCTTTGGGATGTGTTCGGGATGTCTTTGGGATGTGTTCGGGATGTCTTTGGGATGTGTTCGGGATGTCTTTGGGATGTGCTCGGGATGTCTTTGGGATGTGCTCGGGATGCCTTTGGGATGAGTTCGGGATGTCTTTGGGATGTCTTTGGGATGTGTTCGGGATGTCTTTGGGATGTCTTTGGGATGTCTTTGGGATGTGTTCGGGATGTCTTTGGGATGTGTTCGGGTTGCTGATGCTGTGCAGGTGCTGGAGCATTGCTGGCCGCTGGTGCCATCTGGTGGCACCGGGTGACATGTCCGGACAGTGCTGGGGCTGTTCCTGGGGACAGGAGGAGCCCGGACCCGCTGGACTTTGCTCCCATTTAGGGTGCTGAGGCTGTTCCCTGTTCCCTGGGGCACACACAGGGTTGCTGTGGCTCCCCCGAGGGAGGGGATGTCTTTGCAGGAGGATTCAGAGTGGGGTTGTGAAGYGTGGCTGTGGCACCCCAGTGAGTGGGAGTGCTTTCCAAAAGGGGACAGTTGCCTTTGCTTGTCAGGCTTGTCRTGATTTCCCATTTTTCTCGCCTCTGCTGGGTGTTTTCCCCCCAGCTGCTGGGGTGGTGAGAACACCACCCACCAAAGGCACATTTCCCAGCTGAAGGAGGTGTTGCTGTGGATCAGGTTGATGTTTGTGGCTGTGCCATCTATGCAGCTGGGACTGGGTGTGCTCTGTGGGGCTGGGGGTGCTCTTATGGGGCTGGGTGTGCTCTGTGGGGCTGGGTGTGCTCTGTGGGGCTGGGGGTGCTCTTATGGGGCTGGGGGGGTCTCTGCTCAGCCCTGAGCTCTATTTGCTCTCCATCCCCTGCAGGCTGACAGCCAGGTGGACCTGGTCCGGCAGCACTTCTATGAGGTCTCCCTGGAATACGTGTTCAAGGTGCAGGAGGTGCAGGAGAGGAAGATGTTTGAGTTTGTGGAGCCTGTAAGTGAGCTCTGAGGGATGGAGTGGTGGGATGGGGTTGTGGGGAGCCCTGGCAGTGGGGCACTGGGGGTCCAGCTCACCCCACAGCCCTTCTCACAGAGCTTCGGGGTGTGGAGCACTGGCTCAGTGACCACAAGTGTGCTGGAAACATTTCTGTATCTGATTTTTTGTTGTGGGGATAGTCCACAGGGAGAGGAGGGCTGAGGGCCTGAGCAAGTAAAAGAAAACTGCTTTTGACTGAGGATAACCCCCCAAATTTTAACCAATGTTCACAAAGAAAAGAGAGTGCAGGAGTGACAGAAATAGGGGGAAAAGTTCCTAAGATGTACTTTTGTTCAAGTGTTAAGTAATTAAACTGTTCTGGGAAGTGCCAGACCTGCCAGGGGCCCCTTCCCCTCGGCGCTGTGGCTCTGGGAGCAACTCTGGCTCTCCTCTGACCATCTCCATTACCTTGTCCCCATGCAGCTGCTGGCTTTTCTGCAGAGCCTCTTCACCTTCTACCACCACGGCTATGAGCTCGCAAAGGACTTCAGTGATTTCAAGACAGAGCTGACAATCAGCATCCAGAACGTGAGTGAGCCTGRGCTGTCCCCGTGCCTGCAGAGCCAGCTCCCCTTCTGTGTTTAATCCTGGAATTCTGGGATGGTTTGGGTTGGAAGGGGCCTTAAAGCCCATCCCATTCCACCCCATAATGAGCAGGGACACCTCTCACTGTCCCAGGCTGCTCCAAGCCCTGTCCAGCCTGGCCTTGGGCACTGCCAGGGATCCAGGGGCAGCCACAGCTTCTCTGGGCACCCTGTGCCAGGGCCTCCCACCCTCACAGGGAAGGATTCCTTCCCAATATCCAATCCAAATCTCTCCTCTTTTAGTTTTAAGTCTATTCCCTTTATCCTATCTCTATCTGCCCACATAAATAATCACTCTCCCTCTTTYTGTAAGCCCCCTTAATGTACTGGATGGCCTTGCAAACTGTGGTAATATTTTTCCTTTAGTTTAAATCCAGGCCCAGGAAAGAATCCTGCCCTGTGGCTGCCCCTGGGCTCCCCAGTCCCATTCCCCACATACAGAGCCAGGCACAAAACATTCCTGTTTGAATTTGCAGACAAGAAATCGCTTTGAAGGAACAAGGTCAGAGGTTGAAGCTTTGATGAAGAAGATGAAGGAGAACCCTCACGAGCACAAGAACATCAGCCCTTACACGATGGAGGGGTATCTCTACGTGCAGGAGAAGCGTAGGTGTTGGGACAGGGGATTGTGGTGGGCAAAAAGGGGAAGGGGATGTTGGAACAGGGGCACAAAGGGTGATTTGGCAGGTGCAGGGTCCCTGGAAGAGAGGGGGCATCAAGGGGGAATGTGACAGCCAGGGAGAGTCACTGCCAGTGCCTCATGAAAGCCTTTCCCCTGAACAGGAGATGGGTGAGAACTCTGAGTCCAGCAGGAGCTGTAGGTACAGGAGAGTGGGTATGAAATGATTGTTAAACACAGCAGGTTCTGATGGGAGGGCACTGAACCAGGGAATAAACCCTGTGTGAGGCACTGAAACTGGGAATAAACCCTGTGTGAGGGCACTGAAACTGGGAATAAACCCTGTGTTTGCTCTGCAGGTCACTTTGGCACTTCCTGGGTGAAGCACTACTGCACCTACCAGAGGGAATCCAAGCGCATCACCATGGTGCCCTTTGACCAGAAATCAGGGGGAAAAGGGGTGAGTGCTGGCAGGG